GAGATCATTGGAGGGCTCATGTGGACACTGTATTGAATATTCGAGTTCCATAAAATTTTGGAAAATTCTGAGTAACTGAGCAATCGGTGATTTCTCAGAAAGGACTCAACCCCATGGAGTTAGTTAGAGAGGTAGTTATATAATCATAAATTATTCTGCTGACAAAGTTGGTCAATAGTAGAAATATTTCATTGCATGAAGGTTTTAACATTATTTTCATTTTATTTCTTCAACAGATAAAATATGTCAAAAGAAATTTTCAAATAAATGTTAGGTTTCTAAAAATAGATATTCACATTACGTCACGTTTCCATAGCTTGTATGAACCCTGTGTTAAATATGAGAAAATGAATGAGTTTAGCTTCAAGTAAGCATAAGATATGGATTATCTACACTTTGGTGAAATAATGCAGAAGTTCAACGCCACTAATTCAAAAGTCTGCTGTTGTTATTTTTTTTATTGTTAGTCGGGTGGGACTAAGTCCCTTGTACTCCGGCCACTTCTGGCCTATTGTACCAGCCCTAGATGATAGGTGAGGGTGATTGTGGAGCAATTGGTGGAATGAAGATTGGCAGGGGAAACCGAAGTACTCGGAGAAAACCTGCCCCAGCGCCACTTTGTCCACCACAAATCCCACTTGACCGAACCCGGGATCGAACCCGGGCCGCCGCAGTGGGAAGCCAGAGACTAGCCGCTTGAGCTATGGCACGGCAAAGTCTGCAGTTGGTCACGTTTCTGGAGACTTCATCCAACATCAAATATTGCAACTTGTCCCTTAAGGTCATCTTAGTATCACCCTAGGTGCTCTATTTTCCGGTTGGATTATTAAGGATCGATAGGGACTAAAATTAAATCATTCCAACAACTTAACTAAATTCCAATTATATATTATTAAATGGTTCATAATATGAAAAGGTGTTCACATTTTACGTTCACTTTATTTACTGAGTAGAAGGAATGTATGGGCACTCATTTTTGGAGCACGTCATTAACGCTTCTGTTCAGGCACTCCCCCTTACCCAGACTAAGATAAACTATTCCCCTAGCCCCGCCTCCAACCTCATTAGATATGTTAACGATTGGCCGTAACAAGATTGATATTGGTATACAGGCAGTTAAGAAATATTCTTAAAAGAATGCTGCATTAAAAATTAATACTCTGTATAATAGGTGTGTTTGTTTACGTTATTTATGTTAGTTTCAGAGTTTTCTCGCTTATAAGCGGTGGGTCTGTTGTAATTGCATCCCATATATCAATATAAAGACCACCTAGACATAGTGGTCATTCCTCGACCAGATGGAGTTTCCTTGCTTCAGAAATGGCTTCGCGTCCTCAGATCTTACAAGTTTTCTACATCCTACAAGTTTATGTTCCTGGGTATTGTCTTTATCTAAAACACCGTCCTATCTGAAACGCCGTACTGTTTATACAGAACGGTTTTTTTAGATAAACATACGACGATGGATAATGTCCAGAAACATAGTATTTGTACTAATGTACCATCGTCAGAAACTTTTAGAACTTCTCTGCATCATGCTGAAACAGGCTTTGGTATATCTGAACGTAAATTTGTCCCTGTATTTAACTAATTAAGCCCAATCCTTCCAGCCCCACTAAGGCCCTGAGGTTGACCCAGCCTCTAACAGAGCTGAGTACCAGGAATCTTCCTGGGAGGTAAAGGGCAGCCGGCGCGTAAGGCTGACAATCTTACCGCCATCTGTGAGCCGATTGTCTAGAACAGTCATGTCCAACGCGTCGATCGCGGGACGATTTTTGGTCTATCTCATAGGTTTATAAGGAAATTATACGTGAAAACCATGTAAATTCACTTGTAATGTAATATGATTATATTCAGATTTTGAAAGGAAAATACGTATTAAAGTAGTCTGTACTTCCAATATATGTTGCTTTTACAACAAACGTCATGTGTCGTGTTATTTTTACCAATGTTTTTGCTTAAAGCGAGGTACGACGATAGGAGGGAGTGGTAGATCACTGGCAGTTTTGACCCTAAAAAGTCGATCACAACCTGTTTGAAGTTGGACATGCCTAGTCTAGAAAATATGGGAACCTCGACCTCACTCATGGGGGAGTGAATGTGTAGATCCATGTTTTCTTGACCTCGGCATTAGTTGGAGATGAATAGTCAGCTTCAAGCTTCGGCCGCTTTACCCCCGGGAAGGATCCCCGGTACCAATTGGATAGGAGGTTGGGTTGACCCCAGAGCCGGTCTCGACGAAGTGGTGAAGTGAAAATTCTTACCCCCACCGGGACTCGAACTCCGACCCCTCGGTCGTAGCCAGTAGCCAGTCGCTATACCGATTACGCTATCTCGGCTCGTATTTCTTACATACAAAAAGACATATTGTAATTCTCAGAGTGAACACAGGAGAAAGCTAACGGGACCCGATACCACGATCAGGGGCGGTCTGTGGTCATAACAGCACAGCCCCCGTGGCCAGGCACGGCAAATACCTTAGCGCTGGGTCTCTCTGTGCACTGCCTCCGATGCGGTTCATTTACAAGTAAACTACGGTCTGAAAGGAGCTTAGGCTGTAGCAAATAAAGACAAACCTGGTCCTGTATCTGAACATCTCGCCATGGGACTGCAGGTAAAACATGAAGCGTTCTTAAACTCAGCACTAGATGGAAGAAGTGGTCAGCTTCGTGATCCAGTCACTCTAACAAGTCCCGAACAAAGAAGGAGAGAAGGAAGGAAAGGGGCAATATGTTTGTTTACAGGGGTAGGAATAAAGGAAGAAAGAATGGAAAGAAGTAAAGAGTAAAGAAATATGTTTTTTTTTTTTTTTTTTTTTACTTTAGACAGTAAATAAAAGGAACTTGAAGGACAGCGATGACCTGCCAGGCTTCTGGCACGCTCCCAGCATCTGTTCCTTCTTCATAACCCAAACCAGAAGTGTCAAGCTATGGACCGCGGGCCGGCTCAGCCCGTAACAAGTTCTTTCCCCGGCACCCGGAGCTAGTTTACAATTTACTTGTCGATTTATATTAAAATGAACAAAGCCCTCAGTCTATGTTTGATAGTTAAATGTTTAACCTGACACGAACTGTACTGTACAGTAAGTGAAGTTGAAGGCGGTTCAAACGTAAAGGCGGCAACTTTGTTTAGTCTCTAGCAAACAGTATTTCACTGCTCATGTACATGCGGCGCCTTTTGATGCGTGAGTTACCAAACATAACCACGCGTCGGAGGCGGGGACGGCGGCGTCTGGTTTCACACAGCCTCACTCCACCTGCAGTTGAGAAACAATTGTCAGGTGTCAGATGTACGGAACGGACAGAAAGACGTACAGTAAATAGTTGATTTAACTGGCCACTATTTAACGGACAAAATTCTTCGATACTTCCCCGTTATTCACCAGCTGCTATGTCGATACTTCAACGTAACAGTCCAATCAAAATCTCGCGTAGTGTACGTGTTCTTCCTCAGTCGTGCTGATAACATAACACATACCTGCTATGTACATAGATCGTTCTGTCTCGAGTTAATTTTGTGTTGTGCTGTGTCTTATTTGTTCTGTATTACAGATATTTTTTAATTAATAGAAAAGAAAAAACAATAAAACAGAAGTTAGAATTGAAGAAAGTCGTCTTCTGGGTTTTGGCGCCGTGTATTCTTCGTTTTAGCCGACGTTTCGGAGGAACGTATCGCCTCCATCTTCAGAGCAGGTGAATTGGCTTGTGAATGCAGAGAGCAGTAGCCGGTTCTCACGGTCTCTTCGCTTGCGGGTTTATTATATTTTTCCTTCTACCCTGAAGATGGAGGCGATACGTTCCTCCGAATCGTCGGTTAACACCATATATACACGGTGCCAAATCCCAGAAGACTGCTTTCTTCAAATATTTTAATGTTATATGACACAGGAAAGCACAAATCCCGTTTTTGGACAGCAAATTTGTGAAAGTGCATGGTGGAAGTCAAAACTTGATATAGGGGGAAGTTAAGATGAGACTAAATTCGAGTAATGCTTGCTACCATTCAGTGCATAAGCTTTTGTCTTCTTGTCTTCTATCTAAAAACGTAAAAACTATAATATAAAAAACACATAATTTTGCTTGTGGTTCAGTATTGGTGTGAAAATTGGTCTCTGATATTAAGGTACGCACTTAGATTGAGGGTGTTTGAGAACAAAGTGCTGAGGAGAATATTTGGACCAAAGAGAGATGAGGTGACAGGAGGTTGGAGGAAATTGCATAATTGTAATCATTAAAACTGCATTCACGACAGCCGGCCCGTAGCAGTGGTTAGAACCACATAGTAGGCAAATTCTTTATCGCTTATGTGATACAAGCACACTATGCAATCTCTAATATAAATTCACAGATTACCGGTCGAATCACCACCTAGTCCATGTTTTCAATTAAATTCAACGATCAGTTTCGGCCACACAGGGCCATCATCAGGTTTTTGTAATGATTTGAGCAAACCCTTATGCTGTACATATTATATTATGTATTATAGAGGCAGATCACAGTGGCTGCGCGGTCAAAGGCATGAACTGTTTTCGCTCGAACACTGGGATCATTGGTTCGAATCCCATTCGAGGCAGGGATGTCTGTGTCCCTCTATTCTGTTTGTGCTGTCCTGTGTGCAGGTAGCGGCCTTGCGACTGTCTGATCCATCGTCCAAAGACTCCAACCGACTTTGTAAAAGATCAAGAAACTAAAAACCGCCAAGGTCCAACAAAAGGGCTGTAGAGCCATGGATGGATCTTGGTTACGTGTGTTCTGGTGGCCAGTGTATATACACTGCACTGCCGCATTTGTTGCTCTGTTTATCTCTAGAACAACTCATACGAGACAATTAATTTAAGACTCTAAACAAAGAAGGGACGAACAAAATGCGTTACCATGAGTCAATTGTCAAAGTTTTCCAAAAGATTTTGCATTGCAACTTCTCTCGTATCGACATATCCGATCTCTTTAAGAATTATATTTCCTTTACAACTCTGTTCAATACTTTCTTCTTCTTTTCAGTTAATCTTCCATCATTGGCTGCCGAAGGAGGACAGCAAGTTTACCTCATTAGGTTGGCTCATTGAGCATCACTCGACTGGAGTGAGTGACTTCGTCACAACGTGAACCGAGTCAGGTAAAACTCTCATTAATTGATGTTCTATTTTTGTGATGTTAAGGCGGAGGTTTGTGTTTAATCCATTCGCTCTTAATTGCAAGTATATTAATAGCCTAGGCAAATGCGTGTGTGTCCGCCGCTAGCCAATTCCTACTAGAATTAAAAGCGTAAGGTACGTCTTGTGAATGTCTGATTTATAGCGATATATACGGAGGCATAATATAATGACCGTAAATTGAAAATATGGATGTTTTGCCGCCAAAATCGAGAGAATTTCAGCAACAATCCTCATATGGGACTGAGTCATTTGCGAGGAGGAGCCAATAGCCGATCGGATGGTTAACAATATTGCCCGCCTTTCATAGAATCTGCATGTTCATTGCCTTTATAACAAGAGCCTGCCACTAGCCACTCTCCTAAACCAGATGAACCCAATCTACATCCTCGATCGCTGCATATCATATTTTTTCAAATTGTAACAGTTTCCTTGCTTCAGTGCTTAGATTCCGACTAGTGCCCAGGTCAAGAATGGGTGGACCTATACATCCACTCCCCCATACGTCGTCATGGCATAGTGTTTAGTTATTTATACACGTGGAAATCTTTACCTCGCCTTTATTTACTACGCCAAGATTTCTTACTGTCCTCTTCCCTTCTGTTTTATTGACTGAATCTCTTATATTTCTCATCATTCCCATGCATGCTACATGTCCCACTTACCCTCCTTAATGTTATAGCATTCAGTAAAGAGTGCAATTTTATTAAGTTCTTCAGTACAGTAAACCTCATTAATGTTGAGGAACTACGGGAGGCGTCATTCCGGGCGAAGCAAATCGTCGTCATAAAGAAAAACGCTCAGAATACAAATAAATGGAAGATTTAATTCTGTAAGTAGTGCTGATGAAAATAAATAAATAAATAAATAAATATCACTATAGAACCTTAACTCAAAAGCTATAATAAGAATTATATTTTTTCATCGATAGAAATCTCAGAAGTTGTACTTGTTTTTGAGCTTAATAATACCAGTTTCAAGAAACTGTCAAGTTTTGTCTGAACAGAGAAGTGACTCTTTTGCCTTCGTAAGTGTCAGGTGTCTTTTATAGTACGAACTCAACTACGAATAGCATTTTTCATATTTCGATTAGGATTAACCTACATCCGGATTAATTGTAACCAGATTAACAAGGGTTTACTGTACTTAATTTTTTCCAGCCTCCTGTTACTCTTTCTCGCTCAGATCCAAATATTTTTCTCAACACAGTTAATAAGATCCAGTTAGAACCATTAAGTGAACAGTTTCATCTCCAGCGAGGGCAGAATAGGTTAATGGGTTTTAAGCGGCTGCGGTAGCAACTGCCATCAACACATTACATTATACAGAGTGAATAGAAATAGTCGGCCTAATCAGGTGAAGGCCGGTCACGGTAGCCGAGCGGTCTAAGGCATGTACTGTCTTCGCTCGCTTGGAAACCGGGATCGTGGGTTCGAACCCCACCCAGGGCATGGATGTTATTTCGTGTGTGTGCGTTTCTCTGTATTTCTGTAGAGGCCTTGCGACGAGCTGATCACCCGCCCAAGGAGTCCTACCGAATGTGTAAGATCTAGAAAAACCGAAGTGAACGGAGAAGTTCATGAGGTAGGCCTAGGCCCACTGGGGCTGTAGTGCCAAGGAAAAAAATCAGGCGAAGAGAGCCTCGAATTAGAATAACAGATGAAGAGAACAGCTACAAGTAAAGGATCTAGGAAGGGCAATGAAGCAGTGCATATTTCACGATGATTATGGTGCTGCATGGTGATGAAGATGGTGATGACGCAAGTAAATTCAACACTTTAGACTGTTGGAATCTCTCATATGACGATAAAAATAAAACGAAAGCTTAAGAAGAGCGGAAATGTATACCCCAATTCATCTCTATCACATTTTGCTTTTTTTTTTTTTTTTTTGGTCTTTTAATTATTCAGATAGAAACACATTATTTCAAAATCAAATCACAAAATTTACTGGTAAATAAATTGAGACAAAAATGTACATTGCATTCCGTTAAATAAAAACTGTAAGGAAAATATCAGTCCGGCTTATGGATCATTTTCCAGTTTATGCATTCATAAAAGTACATTTTACCTTTACTTTAAATTTGTTCTCTGCTAACTGCTAGGACTCTAATCCAGTGCTTAAGCTTATTTCTGCTAAGAATGCTTCAAGGTATACTTGCAACTGAAGACAGAGGCTTATACACTAGTGCTGAAGTGCAAGTGGACTGTAAACGTACAGTTCATGTTCCATTTGAAGACATTTAGGCGCTCGAAGTCCGCATCTGTAGCCCGCCAGTAACCAATCCAATACGTAGTTTCATGTGTGTAACAATTTCGTGAGTGCTACGTAACGGTTATTATTTTCAACAAATGAGGGGGAAAACACGGAACTCCAACTATATCTACAAATGTTCGGCGAGAACACTTCTTTTACTGAATATTTATTTATTTTCTCAACACAGTTTGTGTAGATTCAAATATTTCAGTTAGTTCTGTTATGATCACGAACTGAAAAAGCCATATGAGACAAAATCTGCCGTGGAGCATTTTAAAATACTATGCCAACTATTGGGAGGCGGGATATTGCAGTCGGTATAGTGACTGGCTACAGACTGGGCGACCAAGAGGTCAGAGTTCGAGTCCCGGTAGGGGCAAGAACTTTCAGTTCTCCATGTTGTTCAGACCGGCTCTGGGGCCCACAATGGGTACCGGGGGTTCTTTCCCAGGGGTAAAGCGACCGGGGCGTGAGTCTGACCACTCACCACCTACTAGTGCTGACGTCAAGAAAACGTGGATCTATACATCCACTGCCTCATACGTGTTCATGGCGTAGTCCGTAATTAGTTAAGGACAGGGACAGCTTTACCTTTGTGCCAACAATTCATGGATAAGACGATTTGTCATCTGGAATATAACAATGTGTAGTTCGTTGTATTCGACATACTTACCGGAGGAACATGTCACCTCATCTTCAATCTTTAAGAGTGAGCAAAGCAAGAAAATAGTATGAAACAGACAACAAGCAAATCAAGAAGTTAATATTTAACAGACAACACGACGTTATACCCCAGGTTACAGAACTCTTCATAACCACCGCTGTGAGAGCCTCAGATCCTACACAGCGCTATATCCCAGAAGACAGATCTCTTCGTAACCACCGCTGTCAGAACCTCAGATCCTACATAGCGCTATATCCCAGAAGACAGATCTCTTCGTAACCACCGCTGTGAGAGCCTCAGATCCTACACAGCGCTATATCCCAGAAGACAGAACTCTTCATAACCACTGATGTGGAAATCTCAAGTCCTACAATTGACTGGATTAGGTAAGACAAAGTTGACCAAGTACTAAATCAATTGGGCTCTTTTTTATGAAGACATATGGGGGAGTGCAGGTATAGCTCCATCATTTTTGCCTCAATACTACTTGGAAGCAAGTGGCCAAATTCATACCCTGGCTGCTTTTACCTCTAGGGTACCAGCTCCCGGTATCCACTGGATACGTGACTATGTGGGCCCCAGAACTGGTCTGGACACTGTGAAGTATAGAGAAATTTCTTGCCTCTGTCAGAAATTGAACTCCGGTCATCCAGCCATTATCCCCTCGCTATATTAACTGGCCCACCCCGGCTATGTTCAATGAATAGACTGAAGAAAATCACGAAACCCGTTAGTCAGGACAGTGCATGCACATTATGTGTAATTTATTTTTTTCCGGAACTATAAGGAACAATCAGAAAAGGCCCGGAGCACTTGCAGTCCGCCGACACATAACCATAAGCTGCATCATTTTGAGCAAATCTCTTTCTTACCACAGTCTTGATGCTTTACAGAACTATATCATTCGTTCAGAAATGTATGATTTGCATAATGTTGGCCTGTGGCATCTGAAACCGGAACCAAGCACGGTCATTCAACCGAAACTGACCTACGTATCATTAAACTTCACCTGTTATATATACATATAAATCGCTGCTCTCCATCGCTGTAATTTTCTACAGTTTGCACCTAGGCCAATTTCGTGTATCTTGTGAAGTTGATACTCCGTCAGCTGGTCAAGAAATTGTCCACTGTTACGGGTTCTGTGAGTCCCTTGCTGTCTTCACAACATCTCGGTACTGAATCATATCCTGACCCAGATGATTTCAGTCCACGCTCTCACACTCTTATTCTTAGATCCATTTTAATATTATCATCACATATACGCCTAGGTCTCCCAAATGGCAGGATATCTTCTTGCAGGTGTTCAAGCTGGGATTTCTTCAATTCTCATCTCTGTGCGTTCTACGGGTCCTGCTCATCTTATCGTCCTAAATTTTATCACAATATTTAGTAAAAATCAGAAATAATGAAACTCCTAATTGTTTAAATGTGTTCATATTCCTGTTATGGAGGCCAAGTTTCACACTCGTATAAAACAATGGATCGAAGTACATTTTAGAAAATTATAGTCTTCAAGAATGCTGTGCAGAATAGAGTATATTCCAAACTGAAAGTGAGTTCCCTGACCTGTGTCTGCTCTTAATTTCTTCATGAACATTATTTTGATTTTAAGAGTTCTATCTTCTCGCATATAACCCGTGTAGCCCCTCGAAAGTCCGCTGACATTTCAGAGAAACCTGGCGCCTGCATCTTCAGAGTTGAACAGTAAGACAAGCAAGAAACCAGCATGAAACAAGAAGCAAACCTGCTTCATACATTGAGAAGTTATAGTGCCTAGTTTAATGATAATATGAAGTAATCCTGCAAATGCAGTAGATGTGGTTCTCAGAAACGTCTATTGAATTTCAAAGGGCTAGACGACCGAGGGGTCGGGGTTCGAGTTTCGGTGAGGACAAGAATTTTCACTTCTCCATGTCGTCCAGACCGGTTCTGGTGCAGACCCAGCCTCCTATCCAATGGATACCGTAGGCTCTTTCACCGGAGGTAAAGCGGCCGGAGCGTGAAGTTGACCACTCACCTCCTACTAGTGCCGAGGTCAAG